TTGCCACCTCTCTGCCTGAAAGACAAGTAAAAGTTTGGCATTTTGGGAAATCTGCTTATTGGCAGAGGAGATATTTACTATTTCTATGTCTGCCCATTAAATATAAGGCTACAGCCAGTAGCCAGTTAGCTTAGCACAAAGATCGAAAACAATGCAAAACAGGTAGCCTGCACAGAAAAGTGTCGTTTTTACTCTGTGGTTTTTATCCAGAATAAACTAGCGAGATATAATCGGTTTGACACAGCCAAGCTACCTGTTTCCCCCTATCTCCAGTTTGTAGACTAAGTTAAGCTAACAGGCTGCAGGCTATAGATTTTTGTGCACACACATGCACACCCAAACACACACACACACAAATCCCACCCTTCCTGAGTGCTGCATCACATTTGCCAAGATCAATGCAAAGTTTATATGAGGGCTTTTAAGGTAAGCTTAGCTTTCCTTTTCATAGGGACTCGAGAGAGGAGCAATATTGTGTCTGTATATAGGTGTGTGTGTGTGTGTGTGTGTGTGTGTGTGTGGGTGCGTTAGTGACGGTTCAGTGGAGATCCTCCTAAGTCTGGACCTTGGTGGAGTTGAGGCGTGACTCACGGTTTACCCCACTGCTGCATGCCGCGCTGTGTAAGAGACCACATAGTGGATGAGGTCCATCAATAATTCAACAAAGACAGACTTCCTCTCTCTCCCCCTCTCCCCTCTGAGTTCTGCCTCTGTTTCTAACTGACTGAATCATTCTCATACTTCCACAAACAGCCTCCATCTCTGGGCTCCCTCACACGCCTGTCTCTCTGCTAGCCTTCCCAAACCACTTACTACAAGCTGAAGGGTTCTTTCAAATCTAAATCTGAGGCCCACCCAGGTAATCTTTGGCTTTTAAGAGATTTTTTCTACACTAGTAACAAGACATCAAGTTAGCGTTCTGTGATCATGTAAGATTAGGGCTACACAGAGTGCTAATCCTGTTCTGGACACTTTATATCAGATGTGAGAATCACTAAGTAAGATGTCAAACTTGGAGAAGTCAAAGGAGGAGTGTTTAAGAGGATTTTAGGAGATCATATTTTGACCACACAGTGGCTCAGTGGTTAGCGGTTACGAGAAGAGAAGGTACAAAACCTCACTGACTGAGGCCTTTATATGAGTAGTTTCTTTGTTTTACACTATTTTTCCAAAAGCATATAGTGGCCAGTTCTTTATTTCCCTTTTTATGTGATTCTGCCATCTTTCTAGGCTGCCATTGATGACTTGACACTTCCATTAGTGAACATCAAGTTTGGATTCATTTTTGTCAAATTAACATTGTTGGTTTGATTGAAATGACCAACTTCATATCAGTCTTATTACATTATTGGAACCAGTAAAATGTTCAATTTGATGATCTCATGCTCTTAAAAATAAACAGAAAATGACAGCTGCCTGGAAGGTAGGAAAATACCTGGGATGATGGTTTGCTAAAAAGTGGAAATGATTCTGGTAAATGGGCTAAACATGCAAATAGACTAGCATGATATCTTAATGCAACATCAGAACCAATGTAGGAATTTGTTCAGTATGTGCTCTTTTTCCACTGAAAACTGTCTTACAGGTGGTACAAATCCAACATGCCTTTTATTAAAGAACAAAACAGATACAATTGTGTTCAGACATTTAGTAGAAGCAACACATTATGGTGGTTGCGCCATGCAAAGGCTTCTGTGGGACTCATCTAGAAAGCATACTTTAATATTAGAGGAAAGGGCAGTCATTTCAGGAGCTTTTTACTGGGATTATCAAGAGTGCTGACAGAGGTTATTCAAGAGTTTTCTGATGTGTTTGCTTAGGGAATTATTGCACTTTGTGGGAAAACATCTCTATGTCTGTCCTCTGTTGACCATTATCTGACATGAAGCAAAGCAGGCTCTATTTCCTGCCTAAACCATTGATTCCATATGATGAAAATGCTCAAGAGAGACGACAGCCTCCATTAAAAGATACATTAGTGGGCATTATATTGCTAATCCGGGACCTTTAGGAAGTTGGTAATCTGGATTATAGCGTTTGTAGATCATTTCATAGCATCATTTGTCAGCCACCCTATATTAAATTATTTCTGTCTCCTTTGATTCCCTCATCATCTGAACCTCTTGAGCCTGGTGGATGTTTTTGCTTATCTTTTAATTTGGTATTGCCACAGCTATTGACAACCCAATAATTTTCCATAGGGGTGGCCTGGGGCCCCTACAAATCTTGGGGTAGTACACCAAAAGCAAAAGCTGGAGGAGGGGTCAGAGTGTGATGCAGTATCGTAGGTAAAATATCAGATAGAAGCATTTTATACATACAGTACTTAGTCAGAATTATATATTATGCATATGCAACACCTTCTCTATTTGGAAAGTGTCCTGAGATAACTTCTGTTATGAATTAGCGCTATACAAATAAAATTGAATTGAATTGAATTGAATTGAACTAGATTGTATCAGGATGATGGTTTAAATGACAGTTAGGCTCTTTAAAATATTGTCATTTGGCATGTGTGGGGTATCACTACTATAATCTAGGATCCTTTTTTCTGGAAAAGGTATTTTGACGCAGTTTGCGTCTGCAGGGTTAAAGGTTAATGGCCAGATCTTCTCAGTGAGCTGGGGCTATGTATGTAAACAAGTGTTATGAACACAAAGATCCCTGTTTTCAAATAGCAGAACAGTGGACGAGATGGGTTTATGCAACAGACTGATGTCAAACAGTAGTTATTGCAGCCATGTCAATGTAGCAATTTAACCTGCATTCAATCTGAAATTAGATCATTACACTACAGTCCAAATTCCATGGAAAAAATTTAGTATTTTTTTGCTTTTGCTTGCAATTAAATTAATCTTTTGTTGACACATTCAAAAGTTTACTGAGGAAAAACTATTTTACATTGCACATGTAAAACTAAGACAAGCACAACGGCACGGTGCTGCAGAGCTTTGCACTGTTGCCTCACAGCAAGAAGGTTCTGGGTTTGAACCCACCGACTGAATTTGGGGGCCTTTCTGAATGGAGTTTGCACTGACTGCGTGGGTATCCTCCTGGTGTTCCAACTTCCTCCCATAGTCCCACAGTTCATTTGTGACTCTAAATTGCCTGTAGGTGTGAATTTGAGCATGAATGGTTATTTGTCTCTGTCAGCCCTGTGATGAACTGTCCAGCGTGCACCCCGCCTCTTACCCAGTGTCAGCTGGGATAGGCTCTAGCACTTATAGATAATGATAATGCTACCTTGTATTAGCATTACAAAAATCATTTTCCCATTATTATTGTTTAGTCTTGAATACTTGTGTTCAGCCATGTTGCCTCTTGATCATAACACTGCTAATAACACACAATTACACAAGTTAAAAATGGACCAAGAATTTAAAATGGATGGGTCATTCATTTTTTGATCTCAGTCAAGATGGAAGTATTGCTCTTCCAGTTAAAGCACAAAAACGAAGCAAAATCCTAATAAAACTTAAATACCTTCACTGTCTGAAAGATGTTGCATTTATTCTTAATGACAGGGCAAAAAGTAACAATCATAAAAACAATTTTTTGAGGATTCTTTTCACAAATCAGTGTAAAAACAGTATTAACACCTGGAGCTCCTCCCTATCTTGTTACTCTTCTCTGTGTAACAGCAAACCACAAAGAGCCTCTGCACAGGAAATCATATTGAGTTTTCCATGATGTGTTTGCTCTGAGAGCAATCAGGCTACAGCATGTGTGACTCATCCACACTCATCCTAACACTTGAATCTAACAGACCAGCTTATCAGAAATCTTATTATAGGAATGCAGGCAGACAGACAGACAGACACTATAGCCAATTTTACAATGTAATCCCTCAATTCTGTGCCATCAGCAGATCCAAATAAAGGTGATAAAGCAGAGATTGGACAGATTACCAGGTTTGTAGTTGTCAACAGGCTATAGGTCATGTTTGTCTTACATATATATGTGAATTCAGGATTTAAATAATTGAGTTTAAAGAGTGCAATTCTAGGATTACATTGTACCTTCTTTATCAGTAATAATATACCACATTACAGAATCAGTTCAAAAATTAAATTTTTGTGTGATAGAAACATGAAAATCATATGATTTAGAATCTTTCTTAAGAAAACTGCAATTCTAAATACAGCATGAGAGACAATGAGAAAATGGCTGTTGACAATTTACTGCACTGTCAGTAATTGAATACCTTGTGGAAAAATAACTGAAGAGAGCTTGCCAAGAGGTGAGAGGTTGCCATGGAAACATATTCAAAAGGAAGAAGATCCGTTTGCCAAGATCTTAACAAAACATCTGACTCAGCCAAGATATTTGTTAGTCAGACATCACTAGCATGGCTACCAGCAGCTGAAATATATCGAACAGTACAGTTTACAGTACAGACAAAGCAGAGGCACATACAGTAAGATTACTGTAAAATAATCTTACCATGATAGGGAGGCACAGATGTTAGTGCATGGATAATAATTCATCAAATATGAGGGATATGCATGGCATTTTAGTGAGTGAGTGAATCTGATGTGACCAAAAATAAAGATTTTCTTTTGCAAACTAGATATAAATGGAACAGAAAAAAGAAATCCCCCGTGCCACATCAGATGTCATCTTATGTAAAGCAAACAGCGAGCCTCTCCCTGAGTTCCTCTGCACTTGAGTCCATTAGCTTTACACTGCAGTCAACGGATCATTAGGCCCCATCCGCTTCAATAATGCAAAAAGAGCAAACCAAGCAACACCACAATGCCCTATGTGCCTCTCACCTCTGAACACAGCAGGATCCTACTGAGGTAAACAACACATTATCAAACTAATACTGTGTGCGGGGACTGGTATGATAAACTGTGTGCAGGCGGGTGTGTGTCTAATTGACTGCAAGGCATGCAACTATGCAAACAAGCAGAGAAGAAATAAATATGTGGGCCGCCACTTATGCACACAGTTAACACAGTTATTATCCATTGTGTGAGTGATGTGTCTCCTCAGTAAGCAGACAGGTTCAACCAATGGACCTCACCTTTTGCTCTTACAGCACTTGCATTATAGATAAACTTAAATAACAATGAATATCCTGTCAGTCATCTGCCACTGCTTCAGTTCTCTCCGCTAATGTAGTTGACATCATGCGCAGGGGCTTCCTGATGACAAACGGCAGGTAGTGAGTGGCACACAGGTTAGGGCGGTTGTGATTTGACATCACAACACTAATGGATGTCGCAGCCCTGCCCACATCAGGACCAGAGCAGCCAATGACGGGATGCATTTAAACCCAGACGCCCGTGTGAGCGAGCCAATGGGAGCGGATCTGCTTTGTTTCCCTGCCTGCATGACTCTGTTTAGTGCGCACATGTGACCACAGAAGGCGCTTGCTGGTATTTAAACATCATCGATTGGGCTCAGAAGTGGACGGCTACCCCCCGAACAGATAAGCAAACCAAAACCAAAAAAAAAAAAACCCTCAATGGCTCCCTTTGACTCCCCGTGACGGACGCTTTGACCCCCTTTTTCTGACGCGCATCATCTTTTTTTATAACATTAACGGACTTATGGTTAAGCTGCTGACGGAGGAGGCGTCGTGTTCTCTCTCCACGGATGACACCTGTAGCTGAATCTGGATCTCATTCTCATAAAAGAAAAAAAAAAAAGGTGGGGGGGCAGGTTGGATTGTTTCACATCCAGTCACCATCCGCACCCTGCAGGAGAGGTGCTCCGCGGCGCTGTTTGATCTCTAGTGGGTGAAGCAAAGGTAGCCTAAAGCCATTTAACGGACGCATTAATTTCTAAGCTGCTCTCTGTGTCTGCTTGCAGACAGGAAGGAGCATGGATAGACAGGAATTTGCTCTAACTGGTGCGTTGAGGGGATTTGTAGTGCTGGGGGTGTGCTCCTGTGGAAACTAAAGTAGGGACAGTGGGCTGAGGCACCGTCACTAACAGCTCGCCATTTCTCTTCAAGCTTCTTTTTTGTTTAATATTTTATATTCTTTGGCGAGGAGAATATCATTTTTTTTTCATCATGGGGAAAGAGGAGTGCAAAACAATGCTGGACGCTTTGAACAAAGTGACCGCTTGCTACAGGCATCTGGTCATCGCCCTGGGAAGCACCTCGGACTCGCAGAACCTGCGAGAGGAGCTGAAGAGGACCCGCAAAAAGGCCCAGGAGCTGGCTGTGGCCAACAGGACTAAACTGACCTCTCTGCTCAAAGACAAGACCATCACCAAAGAGGACCGAGCCGAGTACGAGCGCCTGTGGGTGCTGTTCTCCAGCAGCATGGAGCTCCTGGAGGTGGACATGAAAAGGTCCCTGGAGATAGGGCAGGATTTCCCCCTCAAGGTGCCGACGAGACACCTCATCCAGACGGGGATGACCGGCAGCACCACCACCGTGGCGGCCCGGGCCATGAGCGTGCAGAACATGAAGTACGAGGCGGACAGCAACATCGACACAGCCGACCTCCGGGACCTGCAGTCCGAGATCTCCCAGGTCACCCAGATGATGGAGGAGATGGAGATGAAGGTGCAGGTTGCGCCGTGGGCCGTGGAGGCGAAGCAGGAGGCGGGCGCGGAGCTCAAGTCCAACATGAGCGTCGGGAATTCCTCCGTGGGCGTCATCTCCATCTGCGAAGAGGAGCCCAAAGAAGAAGAAGGAGGAGGCGGCAGCAGGGATCCTGGCTTCGCCTCCATCTGCGCCGTGCTTGTGTTCTTTGTCATAGTCACAGTCGCTGTGGTTCTGGGATATTTGGTCGTCAATATGTCCTGAACTGTCTGACCCACACAGCCCACCCTGACGGACACCCTGCGCGGACGCACACAGGAGCGTTACGCGTGGTTCACAGAGCCAGCAGCTCCACATGAGAGAGAAAGAGCTTTTTTTTTTTTTCCTTTTTTTTTAAGTGGGCATGAGGGGAGGGAAATTTGCGGACACACAAAGTTATTAATCTTTTCTCGGATTCGTGAATGTTGGAGTTGAGGCACTAGATAAAATGTAGACCAATGTAGGCCAGTGTGTGGAGAGAATGGACGTCTGGCACAATTTGAGGTTAAGTATTTTGAAGGGCCAAGGGGTCGTGTTATTTTTTTAAAAGGGGGGGGAGTCATGAAATTACGTGACAATGTCTGGCCATCAGGATGATACAAACAACACGTAATCCAAGTGGATTAGTGGAAAAGCTCAAGCGTAAATGTAGCCTACTGTTAAGTATTCCCCTTGATGTTACTGCTGATTGATGCTTTCACTTTATGAATCGCAATCCAGCAGTGTCAGATGTATGTGTTCGAGTGAGGAGGGGACCATCTAGTCAGAGAAGTTTAGGGTTGTGTTGTGTGAAACTTGATAGAGTCAGTGTTACAGTTAAGGTCCTCACATCACACAGGTCGGATGTGATAAAAATCTGCACTGTTCCACACTCCCGTTAGCACACTTTTAATACATTATACAAATCTGTACAGCCAGATTGTAGTAGGCCTGCATCTTGCATTGAATCACACTGTGCTTCATGAGAGCCTTTGGACCTCAGAGACTGTTCACAGTCTTTTAACAATGCACCCGTTCACTGTAAGCCTGTTCATGTTCCTTTTCAAAGTTTTTCTTGCAAACAGTGTTGAATGTATAAGTCGCAACATGTGCATAGAGGGGGTTTGTGCATACAGACGGCTGCGTCAGATGATGTACATACATAAGTATATTTATTATAATAAAATTTTTAAAAGCACACTTGAAGACGTGGTTGTAGTTTGCAGAAATAGCTCCCAGGTGTTTTACGAGCAGTTAGTTGTTACAAGGAGCGATGCATGGATTGAATGTCACATTTCTATTATGTGTGAGGCTTTTGAGTTAAAGCCAGTGGCTTTAGATGAGCCCAGTTTGTAATCACTGCAAAGCTTGACATACATACATTATATGTACACAGAGGTATTTTAAGCAGAGGATTATTATCGTCCACGTAAGCACCTTGGTGTTAAAATAGAGCACAGTTTAAAATAAACAGGGGACTAGCACAGATCCTTAAACTACCTAATGGTTTTAGTTGTAAGAGTCTTTGAAGGTATTCCTGGGATGGTGAATTGAAAGCTGATGGCTGTTAGTGCCAAAGCCTTTATATGTGTGGGACAGTTGTCTTGGGCCACGCATGAGCTCTTTACAAGATTTCATAAAGAACACTGTGAGGTCAGAAACCTTAATCAGATTCTATCAAAGACCAAAGATTGGCAGCAGAATATTTTATAATTTTGTGGAAGAACACAACGTTCCCGTCTTTGTTAGGGTTGAACTGCAAAGACATAATTTCAGTGGGCAGATACGTTTTTCAGATTCACTTTGTTTCACTTTATTTCACTCCTACCCAGTTCCTTTCATCTGATGACAGTTTTGAGGAGGGTTAATTTTCAAAAAGATATCTCAGATTTTATTTTCCTAAATCATGTTTGTTTGTTTTTGTTCAGGCCAGGAAATAGCAATCAAAGCGGTGTTGGTTTATTCATTTTAAGAATGGCATTCATCTGTTTTTGCAAATGAACTCTTCTTTTGTAACATGTTATTTTTTTTTTTTACAGTAATCAGTTGAAGCTCATACATACATATACAACATTATGTGAATTGTTTTAGTCAAACTTATTGTGGATGTTCAAAATGTCTTTATGACTTTTTTTCTTCCTCACAATTTCAGGTAAATATGTTAGAGTGAGTTTTAATGCTTTAGGCAGTATATCAAAAGGGTATAAAGTGAAATATTATTAAAGAGAAGTATTTAATTATCAATGCAGAGGCTTCACTGCACTGTAAGGATTCTGTCTCTCCTCTGTTGCACAAAGATCACATAGTTTGTGCTTTCAGACAGCAAAACAAAGTGACCTCAGGATAAATACATCCATGTCTACAGTACAGTCAGCGATTCCTACTCGTCATCATCAAATACATTTGTTGAATTATTGCTCCAGTGGGAATTCTGAGGAAAAGTCTGGTGTAATTAGTTGCCGTTCAAGATCCAACAAGCTCTAAATTGACCTTAACGATCACCTCCCCCATCCTCGAGGAGGTTCTCCAATAAATAGACCCCTGGCATTTAAAGACTTCTTCAGTTGCAGCATGTGAAAGTATGTAATAATCAAATTTAATTAGCAACCCATCTCTCCTAAGCAGAAGCCTGACTCCTTGTGAGAGTAATGGATTTACACGCAACTAAATTATATTTTTCTTATGTTAAAAGAAACCTGGAAAGTGTCAAATATTCAAGTTGCAGATTAAGACAGCAATCATGTGGGACATTAAATGTTTATTCAGCAAACTACTTAAATGCCTTTTCCTGTTTTCCCACTGTGTTTTATCTCTTACTCCAGGCTGCCAGTGTCTTCTCAGCCTCTCGAGGTTAGAAACCTGTGGAGACACATTAATAGAACATCGTGAAAAAAAGCTGAAAAGCAAGATAACTCGCCTCCAAAAAGCACCGAGGCCACCGAGCCGACAGTATTTTTTGGCAGGACTTTGATGCATGAAAATCAGTGGCATGCTACGCTCACACCCGATTCACAGCAGGCTTTCTGACATCTTGCCTATCCTTGTTGTCGTCTCACAGAGGCACTAAGCTCTGCTAACAGTGAGTCATGAAGCCTCTTGAAATTCACCAGACTTACATTGTCATCTGGAGATCCAAAAATATAAAGGCGATTAATTAAACATGGGGAGGAAAGGGAGGGGATTTAAAACGTGGACCAGATAAAGCCTCCCGAAACACTGCACTTTAAAATGTGTCCCTCATGTTTCAAGAGGAGGGGGAAATGTTCATGCAAAGTCTACTTTGGGACAACTTTATAACTATTTTAGGCATGTTTAAATGCTTCTTTTGCAATCTCCGTTACGCAACCAGCTTCTCAAAATAGCCACGTCATCAACATTTTAGAATATGTGCTTCATTTGGTATAACATTTTTACAGGTGAGTAAAAAACCTTTACAGGTGCGTACTTTCTCTACAGCTGGTTTGAGGGAATTAATTTGAACTCGCCTGGAAACAAATAAACTACGCAGACTGTTCACAGAGAGGAGAGCTACACACTTGGCAGAGACAGACCACTGCATCATCACCTCATCTGGATGAAGATGGTGGGTTTCCAAGGCTGTGAGTTGCCATAGAAACCCTCAACGGACTCTCCAGCACAAACAGCACAGAAGGTTGAGCGGTGTTATTCCAACTCACCCCTTTTCTGCCACCGCCATCCTACACAAACACAGCACTCTGAGGCACAGGGAGATGTGTGGGGTGAGGACAGAAGGGGAGGGGGAGGTGGTGGTGGGGGGGAGCTCTGTACAGGGGACAAAACCTCAGCCTCCTCCCTCATGCTGGCAGATGAAATGTGACAAAAACATGGAAATCAGACGGAGCGGTGCTGACCTGTTCCGACATTATAATACAAAGATATAGAGACAAATCCAAAACTAATATATTTAATCAATATAACATATAGATATTCCCCTCTCTTCCTGCATATATTTTTCTTTATCTTTGATGTTGTTTATTCAGCTCTCTTCATGCTAATTTTGTTCATCAAAGCAGCCCATTGCTCTTTCACATCTAAGGTGCAAAAGATGAGGTATTAGGGCCAGAAACTGTGCTCCTTAAATATATATTCTATATTTTGTTTTAAAGATGTATTATGTAACACATTATATATAACAGTGCAAGATCAACACAATCAAGTTCCCAGTGCATTATATCACCTAGATTGTTTAAAAGGTAGATAGAAAAACAGAAAAAAATAAACAGAAGCCTGTTTATGAGCACTATTGAACTATACTGGCTAGAGTGATGGTTTTATAGATATTGTGACTGCATCCACACTGTTACTTGACATGATTTGTCTTTTTTTTTTTTAGAGCAAACTGCACTGTGATAGTAGATTTGAACAATTATCAAGCACCCATTGGACCTACTTTCACTATGTGCTCACAAACCATCAAAAGCCCAAATCAGCAAAGCAAAGTCTGAGACAGCATCAGTGAAAAGATCAAATTAATAATTAATAAATTGATCTGTTTAATAATGAATTACTTCATAAATGTCAGACACAGGGTACAAACCATTTGACAGAGATTATTTCTTATGAGTTTTCAGTTTGCCATGAAGGACACTGCTGCGAGCAAGGAAGACACCCAAAGGAGAAAGGGTGGAAGTCCTGCAGTGCCTCCACCACTGACATATGCACTCCTACTGAGAGGGACCGTCATAACACACACACACACACACACACACACACACACACACACACACACACACACACACACACACACAACCTATTAGCTGCAGGTGTTGTCTCTAAACCCGTTCAATGTATTTCATACTCAGCCTGCTACCATGGTTACAAGCTAAATTTGGTCAAAATAAAACAGTATGGAGCAAACTAAAATGTATAGAAAAAGTCCAGACAGGAAGTACAAAACGATTTAGGATTTATTTCCCTGTATAACTTGATTCTTAATATTTTACCACGAGTGGGCACTTAATAACAAAGTCAGATTTAATTATTTTTTTAAGGAATGCGCTTGATTAACCAAACCACACTTACACTAGCTTACACTAAAACAAATTTGTCCTGATCACCCTTTTAATGCGGCCCTCTCACCTCACATGTAATGCAAACATAAATTAGTACCTGGGTAAAACCTGTGTACAATAAGGCAAATAGCAATCACTTCAGATTAGTTCGTTGCAAATTTGTAATTTGTTACATTAAGAAAAGGTGTAAGCTGGTGGAGGGAGAGATCTCTGTAGATCTGATGGCAATGACTGTGACATAACGGTCCAATGGAAGAAAAAAAACTTTAACAGTCATTAATACAGTCCTGTCAAGAAGTAATTCTAGGCTTATAATTGACAAGGTTGAGTCAATAAAACAATAAGCCTCTTCCACAGAATAACATTTTGACATAGTGGGAAGAACAAAGGTATAAATAAATGAAACGAATGATGGCTGAATTCCATTTAGGTGCATCAGTTACAGGGAGCTGGTAATGTGCCTGCTGGCTCCCTATCACACTGTCATGGCTTACGGCCTGGACACACCTGGATGAATCTACATGAATGTTCTGTTCTGAGTTCAACTTTGGTGAACTTTGTTAATCAGCAAGTGGTGCTGACCTTTGAGGGGAAAGTCAAAAACGTGTGCTGTGAAAAAGGCCTCTCTGGTCATAAACAGAGGAGTTGTGGGGCTTGTCGCTGTAAGTCAAATCTGACTGTTGAGTCATGAGTCATGTGGGGAGGCTTGCGCTACAACAGGGAGCAGATGATTGTATTTGGGCGTGATGGTGATTTGTAAAGTTGTAGTGTACGGATCGAAGATCAAAATTCGGTGCAGTCCAGAGTCCTGAGGGTCCTCCAGCTGAGGGTCTGTACTCGTATCGGTCTTAGCCTCTCCTGAAGTGTCCAATGGATACAGTTTGTCACCTGGAAAGAGAGCAAGAGAAAATAGCAGACAGGTACAGTTAATCTATCGTAAACATTCATGCTACTATTTGATCACTAACATTATCCTCATAAGCTAGAAAATGAGTGGGTAACAGTGTCTGATAAAGGGCTGGGAAGCAGATGTCCTGTCAGCTGTGGAGCAGTGTTGTGTTAGCAGCTTCCTCCCACAAAGACAGCGAGAACTGCTAACTGACACAACAGCTAAATAATAGCGGTCGCAGCTGTTAGAACCCAGTCACTACCACTAAACCTCCTAAAACTGTTTATCACCACCATTAATGATTTTCTGTATTTTGTTGCTTTCACCAATGCCCAGGAAAAGACCAAAACCGACACATTAGCCACTTTCTTAATATCTTCCAACTTCCTCACCCTGTCTGTGGCTCTCGGCCTAAGTGAGTAGTGCTCGTGTTTACTGTAATGAGGGAATATGTCAGCCAGTGCAACAGTGTTGCTCGTTTAGGTGTTTTTAATAAGGTCAGTAAGGTCAAGGCCTGCTCTATATTAAAAGCGTATAAAAATGTGTATGTATAGAATATCGCTTCACATTCAGTGATCATTTAAAGCTGAACATCTATTCGGCATGCTCTCCTACTAGTTTGGATATTGATTAGATGAGTCAGACGATGAGCACCTGGCAGCAGTGATGTGTAGTGTTCATCCTTTATGAGAACGGGCAGCCACTGTTCGCAGCCCTCTGTTGCACGCTGGCTGGAGAAGTTGTGGAGATCCTTCAGCAAAGGGAAGCGGCACATGCGACTGAGCTCATAGAACTGTGGAGGGGCGATCCACAACTCCTGTGCCTGGTAGCTCTGCAGGACCTCTGAGGGTGTGGACCACTGAAAACACAGTGAGGGAGATAGGTTTTAACAAGTGGGTTTTTTCCACTTTAGTTTGGCAAATCAAATGGTGTTAAATACTGTAGTAATCATACACTTACTGTTATGGAGAGCCAGAGCCACGGTTGTAATGAGGGACAATCACTGCACAATATTTGTGTAACTGACCCAAAGTGAAAACCACCGTGCTTACAGTCTTGTACATCTTCTTTTATAGTCACTGAACTGTTCTTTTTAAAGCAGTCACGTACTGTCTATATTGACAATTAAAACAGGACAGCGTTGTGCCCATCCAACATTAGAACACACAGTCATATAACTTTTCTGTAGGCCAAAGTACAGGCTGGCCAACTCCAGTCTTGAGTTATTATAGAGCCAAGAGCTAGTGATATTTAATGTGCTCAGCAGTATTATTACATTATAATACATCCTAACTGAATATCAATGAAGAATGATTGAGTAATGTTCCTTTCATGAACTTGCTAAATTATGTTTTGAACTATTATTCCCTTGGGTTAGCTATAACACCAGTTGTCTCAGCACATTCTGTCCTCTTTACATTGGACAATTGGACACTGGCAACCTTAGCAAGAACACATTTGGTTCAATTCACCCTTTGACCACTTTTAAACTTTAACTGAAAAAACAAATGAAGGATAAAAAAGCCTTAATCATGACTACTAGGCCTGTAACCAATGATTATATTCATTATTGATTAAGTTGTCTCAGCATGCCGTTCCTATTTACACTGGGCAGCTGGAAACTGGTAACCTTAGCAACACATTCGGTTCAATTCACCAAAGATTTTCATTAACATGACGACTAGGCCTGCAACCAATGATTATGTCCATTATTGATTAATCTGCCAATTATTTTATCGATTAACCAAACCTTTGTTTGGTCTATAAAATGTTAGAAAACTACATATAAAAACTGAGGAAAATGTCTTTCACAACTTCTCTTGTCCAGAGTGGAACATTGTCCAACACCCAAAGACATTCAGTAAAGCCTGACCCATACTGGAGTTATGAAGCTGATAAAGTAAAGTTAAGTAACGTGTTAGTGCTTTCTTGTAGACAAACAGTGTAATGGAGACACTGTTTATAAATGACCCCAGACCTCCCTCAGACACAGATATAGCTGAAACAAGCTAATATTGGCTGTTATTTGTTCTGGACAGTTTATTGCTCTAGCTCCAATATTAGGTTTATTATCACATAAGGTAGTTGGACAGCACTAAATCAACACAATTGAAAACCTGGAACGAGAGATTGTTTAGAACTAGGACTTGTTTGCACATCAGTAAGAAAAAAAAACAATTTCTGTCATTGATTAGTAAATAAATATGTTTGTCTGTACACTTACATAGCCATTTTTTAAAATCAAATCCGTACTTTCACTGTAAAGCACTTTGGTGAACAGTTGATGTTTTTAAGTGTATACATCACCTGAAAGCGCACTATTTCCCTTTCATCATGAAGTGTGTGTGGGATCTCCTGCAGGCAGCAGATGAAGAAAGCCGTGTCAAACCTCGTCACACCGTACCGGCCCGTGGGGGTCAGCCAGTTGCCCCACTCATGTAAAGCCCAGATGTTGGGCAGCACCTCCAGCTCCCTGCACATCCTGATGAAGTTGGACGGGTTCTGGTTTACCAGAGTCCTCCACTTGCTGAGTTCACTACCGCACAGCTCGTTTACCTTGCTGTGTAGCACCTGGTCAGTAGCACACCTGTCCTCTACGCTTTTTAACAAACTTTTTTCTTTCTGTTTCGATACAACAAGGAGCACACCAGACTCCTCAAAAGTCTCCCTCAAGGCGCAGATCCGGAAGGCGACCTCCCCCGGGATGGGAGAGCCCAGTTTCAGTCGGTCTGTGGCGAAGATTGGAGGTCTAGTCTCCGCCGGCTGTCGGACGCTTCTCAAACCAAAATTGTGATAGTTCGTAAAAGATTTGAAAATGTCCAACCATTCACTCGAAAAGTCCGAGGGGTCCGCCATGCCGCCGGGAAACACATACGCATTGGGCATGAATCCACTTTTACTGCTGCGTTTAAGCAGTAAAACGCCGTAATCGAAGCACGACTTGTGCGGCAGGTGCGAGCCTCCATGGCTGCTGCCCAGCGGTGAGCCTGGAGCGGCGGTCAGCGGTGCCCTCAGCGCCGGTCCGTCCGCACCGAGCCGGTACCCTGCGGCTAAAATAAGAGTGGCCGCCTCCTTCCAGTGCTTCAGATTGGTGTTCATCCTAAAACTACCAGCGTATTTTCTAAAATGTCACTCAGTACTTCTGAAAGTGACAGTCCCAGGTCGCTCGGTCCTGTGCGTCCTCTCGTCATTTGTTTTGGTGGAAGTGACGTGATTCGGGAAGGACACGAGCACATCTGCCTCGAGCTGCTATCGCCACCTAGAGGCTGAATGACGTCCACCGCTGCAGAGATACAGCTGAACCCCTCATTTCACTGTGGATGTGCATTTTAGTGTGTTTCATAAAAAATTTTCCAAATCTAATCATTGTATTTTGCTCAGCCTGTTGGAAAAACCTGGAAGTCCAGAAACTGAACTGAAGTGAAGCCCTATTGAATCAAGAGAGAAGTGACACTGATCAATAAAACTTCTTAACTCCTGGTTAACTACTTGTAAACACCTGAATACAATTAAATGTCATTGCCCACACAACCCAACAACTATTATCCTACATTTTAGCATTGCTCAATTTTGATAAACCCTGATTAAAACTGTGTTCCATTTTCTATTATGGTTATATTTGTGCAACTTTGTGTCAAAGTACCATTTATTTCCTCCCCACGCTGCTTCTGATGTATGCCTAATAATTGGTCTGCAATCTACTGAGAGGCACTTTTACATTGGTGTAAACCTATGTTGAAAAACCATGCCTTCCTATCCATTGCCTGTGCTATTATTTACAAAAGTACTGGGTAAAGTTCTTTCACACACAGAGCGACAATAATACAAAAACGAATGCCTATATTTTAAGTGTATGTATTAATGGACATTTTTAATCTTTTAATGATTACAATCTTTTTATCATGCTCATATGCCTTGTAAAATTCAACACGATGTTATTTTCTCATTCTGCACTGTATAACCCCTCCAAACTATGTTGTTATAACTGATAAATAAAACATTTATGGCAGGTCAACCCAAGTTTGTGAGTCTCTGTGTTAAAACAAGACCAGACTATGTTTTATACAGTGTACACAATATCAGCTGTCTACAGATCTGTTAACCTGTTAAAAAATAAGTACAGTTTATGACTTATTCTCGCTTTCTCACAGATTACTGTTTAAATCTTACTGTTTAGGGGAATATTTGCAGCAGGGAAAGTACACAAGCTCGCCAAGACTGAATTTGTTGCAGTAAATGCACTTAGTCAGATCCTAAGCCCCCGTGAACGTGTCTGAAACTTGCACTCTGTTATTGGTCAGAAGTTCTTGTTCTCAGGGTTACTGAGTTCATATACCAATGTGTTCTTGTGTTAGCAGATTACCATGAGCAGGCAAGGCTGTCTGTCTGCGGCAACTGTTCAAATTCTCTTACCAACTTCATAAAAACACGTCCTTTGTATTTCAGCAAGCGCCTCAAGAGCATGTTACAATTCAGTAGTGGATTAGACAGTAAAACCTCCAGACTGTTGTCATTTCACTGTTAGTGAGGATGTCTTCTTTGAGATTAAGTAACATTGAATCCTAACTTTTGGTCCAGTTAGATTCATATTTACTTTTACAGCATTATAAATAGTGTACTGCACATTCATCAAAGGCTGAATTATGGAAGTTATTCCTACTTTTGATTTTAATGTTAAGAAACTCAACAGCACACATTCCTACATCACTGGTTGTGCTCAAATGCCATACATGAGCCAAAATATCCACAGATCTGCACATTATGTGTACATCTCTTTTCTTTATAGACCATATGGACAAACTGTTCTTATATTTAGTTCAACCCTCCTCATTTTAAAGGCCTATGATAGTCTGCAACTTCAGCTGGAGCCTACACACATGCATACACAGGGGGATGCTTGGGTCAATGAACCAGAAGCTTGACTTTTCAACACAACAAAATGGAGACATATGTATAAATTGTAATGATATATAAACAGAAAGTAGAACATTACTGCGTAAAATCCAAGTTCTCTGACAGAGAGAAACGTTTGAAGAGAAGGGAGGAGAAGGAGAGGCAGAGTAGAGAGGGAATGCAACACAAATGTGCACGCACACATGCAGGGGTGTCATATATCCTTATCAAAGAGGCATTGTGAAGGAAGTCAGCCTAGGTAAGCTCAGAGAGGAAGAAGTGTTTCAGACTTTTCTGCTGAAAACTGAAACTGTCCTGAAAGTGTCAACCGTGTAAAGAAAAACAAAAAACAAAGACTAATAAAAACTGATGAAATGTTTCATACTGGATCAGTCACATCTAACTTTGTGAGCCGTTGTAGCATCTTCATGGGATAACTGGATTGTTAATCTGAGCAACAGATGAAGTTTTTTTCTTTTCACACAAAGTTGGTATTAAGAATATAAGAATACAACATGTAATGGCATTATCATGTGCTTTACTGTACACCTGGTAAAATGCCATATTCTCACTTAATTCATACTCTCAATTAGTGTTTGTCAGACAATATATTTTATATTTTGTTGAAATTATATGCAGAAAATAAGAAAATTAGAATGTACTATAGTTCAAAACACCCTAATCTAAAATAACGAGATGAAAATTCCTTATTCTTGTAGTAGCAGGCAGACACGTCCCCTTTGAGCTTGTATCAATGGATTTCATTAACTCAGAAGCTAAACTATCTTGGTTGCACTCCCTTTAATCCAGGGTTCCAGGGTTATCTAGGATGTCCAATCAGATCTGGGAACGTCCCACAGGAGGAGTGTGCTCAGTGGCAGGGAGTCCCAGGTTTGCATTTGCATCAGACATTCCTGCTCTGCTTCATTTAACTTGTCTCAGTATCACTTGTGGGTCCATATCACAGCTACATTCAAGGTTCATGGAGCATCACTGAGGTGGTTTTTTGGCCAAGTCAAATGTAAGTGAAAAGTATATATATTATTTAATTATGTATTATCATGTATGAGTCATTCAAGAGACATTGTCTTTAAAAATATTTAGGGAACAAGACAGAATGTCCTGTCATGTTTGTTACACATTAACACAACAGTTTGTATCAAAGTTAAACATTATAATATGGACTGAATGTGTGTTGAAACCCTGTAAATAAGGTAAATGTATTTATCTTGTCCCAGAACAAAAACAGTAGTCATTTGACTGGATATAATGATGAATGGCATAGAAAAATAGATGATTAGATGATTTTAAGCTCATCATTAGTGTGATAAAAACTAATTTTCAACCACTCTAGTCCTTAAAACACACCATTAGTCTTCATCTTTAAATACTAAGAAAATTATTACACTTACTGCACAAAAGGTGCACAGGCTGACACAAATAAAGAAAAATAGCCCCATGGTACAGAGATTTGCAGTGATTTGACTTAAACTCGCCACACAAACAATCGTTTTACACAAGTTGCGTGACTTCTTGGGATTTATGGTGGTCCTCTTTGAGCAAAGTGAAATCCACCCTAAACCAGAAAAAAGTTGTTTTTCACTAAAACTTAACCTGTCAATCACTGACAGTCAGCACTGTGAAATATCACTAAATATCATTTGTGGATCACTGTGCCACAGTCTAAGAGTTATAACCTACAAACCTAAACAAACACTGTACCAAACTCAAAGTCAAAATATGTGTGGTAGATCCAGATCATGGCCTTTTACAGTAATACAATCAGTAAGATCACAGGATTAACAATGAAAATACATTTGGTTTTGGGTGGATTTTCACTGAGTTGTTTTGCTTGTGTGAGCCTCATTGTTTAGCTAGATGAGAGCAAATATACTGCTGGTAGCCCAGCATACAGTGTTTGCCTGTAAACCTTATCATGCCTTGTGCACTGTGTGATGACCTTAGATAGTGGTTTAGATAACTAAGCTATGCAATATAAACCAATGCAACTTGTCTTGTAAAGGTTAGTGTAACTGGTAACTGCATTTTTGTTGTTGCATCAGCAGACTGAAATGGATGAAGGCAACATCAGGAAGAGGAAGGAGTCACAGAATGGTTCCACTGGCCACAGCATGGACTGTCAGGCTAAAGATAAGCAGCCTGTGAAGGCTACTGTGCTTCAAAAAGATGTGAGTGTGTGTGTGTGTGTGTGTGTGTGTGTGTGTGTGTGTGTGTGTGTGTGTGTGTGTGTGTTCCTGAGAACAAGTCTCATTAGATGTTCACACCGTAGGATCCCACCATCTGTGCCTTTTTAAAGTAATGGGGACTAGAAGTGAGTACCAGGCAGTACCACAACAACCGTCTCCACATATTAACTCCAATATGATCCACTCAGTATTGCTGTCCAGGCCCCCTAAGCTACCTAAGCCCTAAAGTGAATTTAGGGGGATTTAGGATTATTATGACCCTTTTTCTAAACAATGAATAAGTAGCACTATCTTATTTTGCCTCACTCTACTAAAGAAGTACATGAGCTGACTTATCTGAACATTTGAGATGGAATAAAAAAAATGGATCCATTCCAATTAAAAATGGGTAAGAATCACATGATAGTGGTAATTAAGTTTTTGTGTGCTCAGACAAGACTAGGACTCTACAGCCATGCAACCTGCTGGTAGTGCCACATGAAAAGTCAGTGGGTCACTAAAGTCATTAGGATATGTCATAAGGGCACAATATGTGTAAAGGTCACAGGAATCCAGTTGTTGAGACTTTTAACAAAAAAAAACCCCACCAAACCTCATAGTGGCTCCAGAGGAAAAATCCAGGGGCTTCGTCCTCTGCTGGGGACCATGAATGACTGTAAGAAAAACAAATAAATCCTGATTATCCTTTCAGTACTTTATTAAATACTGATTAACATCCCCATCCTAAGAGCCATACTAACGTGGCTAAACAGTAAACCCAGTGTCAGTAATTGTAAAATTAAATATGAAAAAGTTGAGCATGTGGAGTGTATAAATTGTGTAAGAATAATAAGAAACAAACCTAGGACATTTACATTTTATTATATTTTATTTAAAGGTCCAGTGTGGATTCAGTGGCATCTGGCAGTATTATTGCAGATTGCAACTACATCCCTTAACCCTCCCTTGCAAGTGTGAAGGAGAAACTATGGTGGTTTCGATACGTATGGTGGCACCTGAAATCACCTGAATATAAGAATCGCTATGTTTTTTTAAAAAAAGCCATTTTTATCTACCGGCGCTGGGGCTTCCATGGAGTCTACCATGTAGAACTGCCATGTTTCTACAGTAGCCCAGAATTGAATAACCAAACACTGGCTGTAGATAGGGCCTTTCCTGCTTTTCGCGTGTTTCTTGCCCACTGTTTCTCTTACAACAGCCCATTCTCATTCCCAGGTCATCAAATACTGATGTGAGTGCTGTTCAGTTAGTTGCAATCTGCAACTTCGCTGCTAGATGCCACTAAATCCTACACATGATAGACATCTAAAAGCATATGCAAAGATAAAAGATTTCTTTCAGCAATTTCTTTTTTTAAAGTATATTTTTTGGGGCTTTTATTGCTTTTATTATAGTAACAGCTGAAGATAGACAGGAAAGGGGGACAGAGAGAGGGGATGACATGCAGCAAAGGGCTGTAGGTCGGATTTGAACCCTGGGCCGCTGCAGCAAGGACTTGGCCTTGGTACATGGGTTGCCAGCTCTACCCACTGAGCTAACCGGGCACCCCCTTTCAGCAATTTCTTGCTGAATTTCACTGAAGATAGCATTCAAGAAAGTAATATCCAATATCATTTTTTTCATCATGTGTGTGCTCAGGTTGGTCTGTTAAGTGGCATCTGTCTGATTGTGGGGACAATGATTGGCTCGGGCATCTTCATTTCCCCTAAGGCTGTTCTGCTGTACTCTGGAGCTGTGGGACCCTGTCTCCTCATCTGGGCTGCCTGTGGTGTGTTATCCACTCTGGGTGAGAATGGCATCCAAACTTTGATATCTGTCTCTGTACACAGACTGGCTCTGAGATTCACAAAGCACTTTACATACTACAAAACACAGAGAACAAGGACACAAAAATAACAATCGGTCTTATGATGAATCTTTGCATCCTTTGAGGTCAGCACACTAGAAAAAACACTGGGTTAAAGTTTGACCCAGTGTGTGGTCAATATAACACAAATGGATTTCAGGGAGGATTTTACCAATGCGTAGAAAACCACCCAAACAGAAGGGTTGTTTTGATACAGGAATCCAAAAATAACACCAACAATAGGTTAAGTTAACCTCCCCCTTGTGTATGTACGTGACGGTGGAGAAACCATGGCCAGGAACATGATTTTTTTCCACTGTGAAAGACCCCAACATAATGGGTGTTTTCACTGGTTATTTAACCCATTACATGTTTTGAAAGCACATGGATCACATCACACATTATCAGGTTCAAACCACCAGCAAGCTTTCAAGCTTTTTTTTCAACCAGTTTTTTTTTTTACTAGGTGTTTGTGTTGTGCACACTGCACATACAGGGCAATTATAACACGTGGATAAAGCCTTGGCTGGAAAAAGCTGCTACAGCATGGGAGGTTTGTTTTTGTGTAGAGAGGTGATCAGCACTGCAGTATGTCAGTCTCATGTAGAACTGTTGTTAGATATGTAAGCATTGTTCTTGAGAAAGTTAAAATCCCTGTTTAACATTCAATCAGTTGATGTTTGGAATCAATTAAATCTTAAGTTAGTCGTTAATGTCAATTAGTTGTAAGCCTTGGCTCTCAGCTAATTAGCTAACTTAGCTAATTAGGATGTCGAGATTCACTCAATGATGTGGACATACAGGGCACAAAGAACTGATTATACAAAACATGTTTGATCTAAATCAGTGTGTCTCCAAGAGGCCCCAGCTGCCCCAGAGGTGACAAGATTAGAAAATACCCCTCAGAAGGCCTGAAAGGGCAAATTTCCCCTTGTGCTTTAACCAAAAAGTCCAGGAGGGCAAAGAGGACCCTCTGTTAGTGTCTCTGTGAGTGAGCTAGCGGCTCTTGACATCTAGCATCTTTTTGTGCTACAAACAAAAAAGGTCACGACTGAAGCCTGACCCTGGAGAAGCCAATGGAATAACTGTAACAAGCAGCATGAGTACTGTATCACTCTGGTATCCAAGGTCATTCATATGAGATGTGGATAGCCTTTATCAACCATATTAGCAGGATTGTTGTGTTACTGGATGGAAACACCGGCTCATTCAAATCTTTTCAAGGTGGTGGACGAAACTGGACTCAAGATGAGACATTGTAAAATATTGTTGCAGCTGTTTGTCCTTTTATTGCTTTGACTGAAGTGCCAATGGGCAGAATTGCATCACTGAAAGTACACAGAGAGAAAGTGATACAATAAACTGTCAACAGCAAAATGAATTGCTTGGTAAGGAGAGTGTGATAGCTGCTGCAATAACTGTTGATCTGTTGTCAGTTTGTTTTCATATTGAACAACAATAGATGTATTGGTCATGCTGTTGTTGTTTCCACATAGGAATGCTGCTTTTTCAAGGCTTTGTTCAAACTTCTGGGTTAGTGTATTATGTTTAAATACACTGGATTTTGTCCTTTTGGCTTGAGTAAATGTTAATGTTTATCGGCAGCATAAAGGGTTGGTTGGCACACTTGCAAGTGTAATCATCTCTAACGCACTGAAAAGTTCTTTGTAATTCAGAATTATCAGCTAAAGTTTGTCCTATAAAACTTTATGAGAAATTTTATGTCGCCATAGTTTTTAGGTCAAAACTCAGGGAAAACACTGGAGCTGATATCATCCTAAAAAAGTGTCTCTCCTACAAAATTTGATCTACAGTATTCTGTAGTCCATTATTATATTGGTTTCCTTTTAATGATTTCCTTTTAATTAATTATTTTTAATTATGTTTATTATTTGCTTTTCCATAAAATCACAACACATGGAATAGCATGGAATATGTTGAATAATATTTCAGATTACCTTTAGCAATCTGTAGTCCTATAGTCTACTCTCTGTCATTGGGGTTGCATTATTATGCTTTGGGATAAAGTTATTAACGGATTTAAGATTTAAAACATGACTGGCTTTAACTTTGAGGGTGTTTGTCAGAGGGTTTGTTTAGACCCATTGTTTCTTGGTAGGAGAAAGTACTGAACTTTCCTTGAATTTTCTACCAGAAGCAATTATCCAATTATTTTTTTGTTTTATCTCTTCTCTTGTCTCTGTCTCTGTGTATGTGTTTGTATGTGTGGCTACACAGGAGCACTGTGCTACGCTGAGCTTGGAACCATGATCACCAAATCTGGAGGAGAGTATTCATATTTAATGGAGGCTTTTGGCTCCCTTGTAGCCTACCTTTATTCCTGGACCACTGTCATGGTGCTGAAGCCTTCCTCCTTTGCCATCATCACACTGAGCTTTGCAGAATATGCCTCTACACCTTTCTACCCCGGCTGTACTCCTCCTATTGTTGTTACCAAGTGTCTGTCAGCAGCAGCTATATGTAAGCTTTACTTTAATCCTTGTGAGTTAATGTTTAAGAGCAGTAAATTACATACAGGGCCTATAATAGTAGCTGTGGTAGAAGTTATTGATCACATCTCTTACATTAAATTGGACAGGCCGCTGAATTGTTTCCTTTTCATCTGTGCGTGTGAGCAGGAATACAATAAGTTTCTGTTAATCATCAAAAAACGTGCTTCTGAATCACCTGGTTAAGAGTAAGCGTGAGCTCTGAGATTGTTGAAAGAATAGTAAAACGTAACTAGTGACATTATGACTATATTGTTCTGAAAAGAAGAAGAACCTACAGGATACATGGCTTTAAAGCCAGTTAATCATTTAAAGCCACTGTAATGAATGTTTTTTATGTTAGTGGGCCAAAGACAGTGGATAATTTTGCAGATAAGGAGCCATATTTCTCTCAGGAAATGGTGTAGACCAAAACAACTAAAAGGAGAGTGAAAGGTGGACTTACTGTGTAAGGTGGCCAGAAACACAACTCCATATAAATTCTACTGTTGCTCCATATCTGCCCGATGTATAAAGAAGCAACTTGATGTAATAATATGTCAGTGTTGTGTTTACAGTTTATTTCCAGCAGCAAAAAAACAAAACAAAACAGAGAAAAAAAATGTTTCTCCAATTAAAATGAAAAGAAAGAGAGTTAACCTGGTGATATACTTTATACTATACTATGTTCAGAACAATTGCTTGCTCGGGGACACCAGAGGCCACTTAGTTCACTGACGGCTTAGGCTATGATAAAAGGTAATAAAAGAATTCAACTTTTCATTGAGAGATGTAATTAAATTCAAGTAAGAATGTTGTTGAATTTCTTGTGTCTTTTCAGTGTTGATCGTAGGTGTCAACTGTTTGAGTGTCAAACTGGCAAGTTACGTGCAGAACTTCTTCACTGCAGCCAAACTGTTCATCATTCTTGTCATAGTGGGAGCTGGCATCGTAATGCTGGCACAAGGTGGGCCTACTGACACTGTCCTTTGATGAAACATCTATCAATAACTATTAATATTTACTCATGTATTGTTGTGTATTTGTTTTCCAGGAAAAACTGAGACTTTGTCAAATGCATTTGATGGCACACCATCGTCTGTTGGAGCAATCGGACTTGCATTTTATAATGGGCTTTGGGCTTATGATGGATGGTAACAGTTATACTTCACTTTATTTTTAACAGGATGTGTATGATCTTGTGCATGTGGATGTGGTTTGTGTGAAACATGATCGGCAGCATTTGACCATTCCTACATTGGTCAGCCATCAGGTCACAGTCTTCCCACTTTTTGTTAGTGGTGGAAGAAGTATTTTGATCTTTCGCTTGAGTAAAAGTATCAACATCACAATGTAAAAGCACGCTATTACAAGAGATTTTATAAGATTTAGATGGTGTTCGTGCCTTACAGAGTCAGATTCTGTGGCAGCGACAGACCATTTCTGCAGGTTCTTCCTTTGTCTGTGTCTGCACTGTAACATTGGGTTTCCACAATAATGGTGCGACAGAGCACTGTCGCCTGACTGTGGTCCCTTTCTTTGTAACTTGTAAGGTCAATTTGGAGGGGTAAATTCTCCCTTCTAGTCACCTTTTCTAAAGACAGCTTCAAGATAGCATGTGACTGATACAATTGAATTTTTATGTCATGCTAGGATCAAAGCATGAGGTATTAGTTAAAAAAAATAAGGTCAATTAGAGTGAAAAGAGATTAAAATATCACATAAAATAACAAAATACCATGTCACAGTGTCCTGCTGAGGAGAGTGATCAAGCTTTTAGATTCTTCACAGGACAAATGCCTGTGATTGATGATTGTTTGCCTTATTTTATGGAAGTATGCCACATTTAGAGAGTACACATGTTTCTTGTTTTCTCATTCTATTGTTTTCATCAGGAATCAACTGAATTTCATCACAGAAGAGCTGAAAGACCCATTCAGGTAATCATTTTTAATAGATCCTCTACAAAATCAGAGTAGCATGTCCGACTAGGTAATCTGTGCACCCTTGAAGTGCACTTCATACAGGTACACTGAGCAAACAAGAGCACTGCACTTTTTAAATCTTGGAACAGATTATTTATATATGAAGCAGAGCATATAGTTCTGTCTAGTATTCTGTTAAAATGTGGACTATATACAGTGTGTTTTCCTGTCAATCTCAGGAACTTGCCACTGGCCATCCTCATTGGGATCCCTTTGGTATCTGTGTGCTATGTGTTGGTCAACGTTGCTTACTTCACTGTTATGACCACCACTGAACTGCTGCTGTCTCCAGCTGTTGCCGTGGTAAGAAGTTTATGGTTATAGTGAAGTAGTGAATGTAATAATTCGTAAGTGTGGTGTTAAATTAAAGATGAATATACAGCCATGAGATCATTTTATACAGTATGTGTGTATTTTTTGTTCATTCCAGATTATTTTAGATTAAGCATCAGTAACAGCTCGGTTTTCATTTACTCTGCTCCCTCGTCTTTTCTGAAGAATTTGTTTGTGCCTCCTTAGACATTTGGAGACAGAGTCCTTTACCCTCTGTCGTGGATTGTTCCCCTCTTTGTTGTCTTCTCTACATTCGGCTCTGCCAATGGAAGCTGCTTCACCGCTGGCAGGTAAAAGAGGCAGCTGTCACATTATGTATGAAACACAGAAAACGATAGAATACACTTCTCTGTCTGTGTTAAACTGCATGGTGTGCATATTTGTGTGTTTGAGAAGGGAGGCACAAAAAAAGCCTGAAAGTGAGAATACTGATGTGCGTTAGAGGTGGAGAGACTTACTGACAAGAGGAACGAGATAGAAATAGAAAGAACTCAAGAAAGTACAGTAGTAGAATACTCAAAATACATTTCCATCTTTCTGTTTTCACAGATTGGCCTACGTGTCAGGTAGAGAGGGTCACATGGTGAAAATCCTTTCCTATATTAGTCTGAAGCGATACACTCCATCCCCTGCTCTCATATTCAATGTGAGTCCTTCTATACTTTTGTTTCAATGTTTAAAGCTTTGCATGCATGGTCCGTTCACTGTGAATACAGTTTGTGACCATTAAAAAACCTGCGTAATTTCAACAGTACATTAACCTAAATATATAAATATAATATAATATAATATATAATCTAGCCACTATGTTGTTTCCCTTCAAGTAAAAAAAGTTATCTCACTGTTTGGTTTCTCTAGGGTGTTTTGTCTATTTTCTACATCATCCCAGCAGACATCAACACCCTCATTAACTACTTTAGCTTTGCTCAGTGGGTGTTTTACGGTCTGACAGCGCTGTCTCTCATAGTCATGCGCTTCACCAGGAAGGAGCTCCATAGACCAGTAAAGGTGAGTTTCCAGTTGTCTTTTTGGAGGCAGCCTCCTCTTCTGTCGAGTTTTGACTCAACAGTAATGCATCTCATACTTTGTCAACTTGGCACACATAACTTACATATATTCAAACTACAAAGATATTGATATTTTTGTCTCACCCCTATGCAGTAGAGCATATTTTGGTCTTATTTTCACTTCAGTTTTTATTGGTTGTACATTAAATATACATCACGTTTGACTCACAGCAAGTGCGTATGAAAGTGCATATTTCAAGCTATATTTTGTTTTGAAGGAAATATACCTACATATAAAATAACCCTGTGATTATCCAACAATAATATAGGATACCATATGAGGGAATTCAGTTGGGGTTGTAGTCATAGGGCATAAGTAGTAAATTCTAAACAGTGGACCTTGTGTAATTGTGTGATTTGGTACTCAAAGGTGCCGATTGTCATAGCAGGCCTAATGGTCCTGGTGTCCTGCTACTTAGTCCTGGCTCCCATCATTGATAAGCCAGATCTGGAGTACCTCTACTGTACTATCTTCATCTTCAGTGGACTTCTCTTCTACTACCCTTTCATCTACCGGAGGGTCAACTGGGCACGCAAACTCATGAGTAAGTTTAAACTTATTTTTTACTGAAATTCAGGAGGCTTCTTGCCCATCAGTCTAGAATAAAATGGGAAATCCGACTTGAATGGCGTTGATGTGAACTTTGACCTTCATGTAGGACCCATCACCATGCATCTCCAGCTGCTGATGGAAGTAGTGCCTCCTGAGAAAACTGAATGAGAGGAGAGAAATCTGGTCAGGTCCACTCCTGCCACTTGATGTGAAACACACCAAGCCCAGTTTTGGAAACAATGGGCTCGAAATTTGTTGCCAGAGTGAATCTGAGACAAACATCAGAGCTCACCTCAGTTTTAGCTGCATGACAAAAGTAAAAGGGGGATTCACTGTGTTCACAAACCTGTGTACAAGATGAAATCATTTGTCATTTGGGTTCAGGGATGAAAAAAGAGAATCCATTTTTGGTGTGTGTCCTATAAGAATAGTTACAGTAATGTTAAAATTAAGGCGTAGGAGAGCTGGATTAACCATTTTGTCATGAAGAAATAAATTACTTACAAAAACCTGATGTTAGGTAGGATATTACTTTAAGATACACAACTTTTTTAAATGAATTTAACCGGCAATCATATTAAACCTTTCTTTGTGTAGTTAATGTGCAACAATGTTTTTACTGGGCCAAAGACCATGTGATGTAGAGCTGCTGGAGGATTTGCATAGAACTACACAAACGCAAATGGATTGTGGAAAACAACATGAAGGCTCAGCAGATCATGCAACAAGAAACGTGTTTATTTATGTTGCTCCTGAGGATGTGAACTGAAACATCAGAGTTTCTTTAATGATGTTTGCACGTTGTTTAATATTATGCTCTCACTCTTGTCTTTAATGCTGGAATTTACTGGAACAGTGCTGTATTGTATTAGCTGGTGGTTATTAAATGTATCAATCTAGTTGAGCATAAAGTGGTCATAAGAAATAAACAATTTGTGATTCCAAAATGTGTCCCCACTGATCTGACTGCTGCTTTAGTTAGGTATCTTTTGTAAAATAAATGTGTGCATTCTGTCTATTATAGGGTGTAAACTCACAAACAATACAATCAAGTGTGGCTAGTGGTGTGTGATTATCAAAATAATATGAGATGACTGGAAAGGTAGGCCTACATGTGATTTGTATGACTTAACACACCCTGATGGAGGTACGTGCCAAACTGATCACATTTCACATCATGCACTCTCATCTGATGGCGCCACCAATTCAGGCAATGACTGTAAGTCACAATCTGCAGTCTATGTCAGATTCAAAAGAGATCTGACAAACACTGATTCATCAGTCTCAACTCAAATTGTTTACAGACCATGTCTTTAACAACACTACAAACTGCAGCCTTAAAAAGATTTGACTCTCTAATAGTCTAAACCAAATGTGTGCTATGTGTGTTCTTTACTTCCAGACCTTTGTTTCAAAGGTCCGGGTGACTGGGTGATTGTTTGTAGCCACAGTTATTAGTAAGAACAATAAAATGAGTGATATAACACTCTCAAAGTCCCAATTGTCCACCAGATGTCAGCACTGCACTGTTAAACAGAACTGTAAAGACATGGATCATCTGTGCTGTCCTTATCATGTGTCCTTTCTTGACATTTTGTTACTTTGGATCAGAGGCAGAAGCGCCAATACAGCAATGTAAAAAATACTCCATTCTAAGTAAGGTCATGCATTCTAAATCATAAGCACCAGTACAAAAGTCTTTTCAGCAATGTACTTAAATGTATAATATGTCATTTCTGCCACTAGGGGATCTCACACATCAATACAATTACAAAAGACAACTTTCTGAAATCATTCATCACCTTCACCTTCATCATTAAAATATATAGTTACAGTTGTTATGTCATAATTATATTTGTATGAGGAAATCTAAGTAAAATGAATATGTCTCTTGCCAAATACGCATTGTGATTCAACACTAACGTATATATAAAGAACTAAGGCCTATGTAGAAACTACATTTGGTCTTTGTTGCCCTCTAGTGGCAGTCTCTCCACACAGAGTCAAACCATTTGTGATCTGCTGGCGTAAAAGCAAGGATTTTCTACAGGACGTGCCAGTAAATTTGCACTGGGTGTGCTGAATGAGAGGACATTTGCAGAGAAGCTGCTTAGTGACTTCTGCCATATTAGGTTGGAACTGTCCAGAGAAGCAGCGTGTTGCTTGTGTAGCCTTTCCCTTTTCTCTCTGTTGAAATGTGCATGGCACTTTAGTCAAAGGATGTTGTTGTCCTGCAGAATCAACTCAGCTGGTCCCACATAAAGACATGTTGACAAAATGGCAATGGCCAGTCCAAAGATGGAGTTGTGATTCAACGCACATAACATAAATGCCCTGGCTTACATCATATCTTCTCCTCCTAAATTTTTTGGCTTTTTGAAATTTAGAGTAGAAACTAGCAGTTACATTCTGTTTCATCACTCTTTAATGGGCAGTGGGTCCCAGGATGAAAGACCAGCATTTTTCATTTGGGTCCTGAGAAGAAAAAGTAAAACCACTCTGAATTTTCAAAAAAAAAGTTTTGTCTTCCTGTGGTGTTGGTGCTTTAGAGATGATGCAAGACAATTCTCCATTCAGTTTCAGTGGAATTCAGAGATCCGATGGCATTACCGGATGAGACCGGTGAATAATGCCTACTTTTAAAGTGTAATAATAGATCTTCAGAGATCCACTCTAAACTCCCTCAGATCACATGGAAAGTGTGGTTCTGTTGTATGTGTGTGTGTGTTTTCATGACTGACTCAACGTGCTTGACAATATGAGGCATGATTTATTCTGCTGCTGATACTTCCAGTTCAGTTCCACGTCATGAATAAGCCTGCTAAACTAACTGATCAGCTGCATACAAATAGTGTCCTACTGCTTTGACTTTGTCACTTGTTCAAAGCGCTCAGACCTTTCTTGACATTTTGTCATGGCTTCTAAATTGTAAGCGACGGCACAGAAGTATAATCAGCAATGTACTTAAATGTATAATATGTCATTTCTGCCGCTAGGGGATCCCACACATCAAAACAATTATAACAGTACAAAAGTTTGGTGATGTAGCGATGCAGCGATGTAGCGTGGATCATGGGAATTGTTGTTGACATTACAGCTTCTCTTGGTTAGGATTTCTTGAGTGTTCATTGTTCAAGAGCTTTTTACCGGGAGCCAAATTATCTTCAATCATCTCTCCAAAACAAATGGTCCCAGTTTCACCTTAAAAATCAGTGTTTCTCTGACGCTGTATGGCCGACAAACCTCCCGGAGGCTGAGCTGCTCCTAACCTAAGCTTGGCTTGTTTCTCTGACAACTTCAATCATCAATCCTTCATCATTAAAATATAAAGTTAAAAATGACAATGTGGCCTAAACCACAATGCTAAAGCATGCTCAAAGGGCATATGACGCCACTGAAATGCACCATTACCTGAATAAAATTACTGATTTCTCTGGGTTTGAACATTGTTGGAAACATTTGGGATAATTTTTGTACACGACACAATAAAATATAACATAGGTCTAGCATTTTAATATATAATATTTATTTAAAGTATCAAAAGTCAAAGTACATGTTACTGCAGTAAATTGTCCCCTGTGACTGACCCATATTATAGATGACATTAGATTTTATACTGATGCAACAATGTGTAAGCGTCATTTTACTGTTGTAGCTGGTCAAGGTGGAGGTAGTTTTATCTACTTTAGATGCAGCCTTATCCAGTGGATTCAAACCTAGGTGTCAGGCCCCTTCTAAGGTTCACCAGGAAAATCTGAGGGGTCATGAGATGATTAATGGGAGATGAAAGAAGAAAAAAACAAAGGTCTGATACCCATGCTGTTTTTCAGGCCGTATCTTCATTTCAAAGCTTTCCTAAAAGGAGATAAGCTGGTCATGTAAGCTGGCTCTGCTATCATCAAGTGCAGTTGCTTCTGTCTGTTTATTACCAACTATCGAAATGTCTTAATCAAACTTTGCATTAGTGCAGTGGCAGATTGATTGAACATTAATATGCTAAATATTCTGATGAAAGTGAATGCACGCTCTAACATGCACACACGTTCTGTACATATGCATACAGCCTTGCCTTGTGTGTGTGTGTGTGTGTGTGTGACACACACACACACACACACGCGCGCATACACATGTACAGTACACTCAAATATCATCTCATTAATGGATAGACAGCTCTGATGAGAACTCATCTGCATATGATTATTATCACATTACTGCACTTTTTCAATCAGTTACTGAATTAGCATTTGGATTAGAACCTCGCAATCATTCGGCGACCTTTCCAAAAACTGTATTATAATGTGTCACTAATGAACATATGCTACAAATGAAGTCTGTGCTTGTTCTGATTGTTTTTGGATTATCAGAAAAGATGCTTCTAGACCTCAGACAGGGAATAGTATTTGGTGCTGATTTAAATGTGCAAAAGTTTTGGTTTGTAATTTCCTGGGCTAGCACAGGGTGTATCCAACATCCTTGACATTTGACTTAACTTATTCACTGTTTGCTCCACCAAGTACTGATCTTAAATTAGACTTTATGGTTAGAAGTGTCTGTAAATGCACTAAGCGCAATGATTTTGGCACCTGATGGCAGAGAAAATTAACCCAAACACAGGTGGGAAAAAGAACCAAGTATCACTAATAATATCCAGCAGAAGGGTCTATTTTGACAACATGACCTGCTTTCCTCCATTGGAGGGCACACTTGAATAAGCAGTGGCAGTGAAGTGAGCCAGAGCCATTTCATGTACACTGTGATCCTTTTACAGTAGGGGATCCACATCAATTTTTCCCTGACACATTCCCCAGATTTGTGGCTCACCCCCACCTGGCACTGCTCCCAGAAATGTCCTGGCATTGCCTTTAGTGTTAAGAACATTATGAAAAAATGCTCTTTATATGAACTATTATGTTTCAAATGACTGTTCTTCACAAATGACTCATTAATAACTTTGTTTGACAGCCTTTCTCAATGCTGTTCGTCATTCTATTTTCCAGCCAAACACAAATGAGTCTTAAAGGCAGAGGATCGACTCAGTGATGTTCATTACGCAGCAATACCTAGTTAAAGTTAGCTAACGTTAGCTACCATTAGCCACCATAAGCTACTGGCCTTACCAAACCAAGTCAGGCTGTAGCAATGGATTGAATTAAGCATGGCCGGTTTCATTGCTTATGATTTAAACTTTTCGTTTGTGAGAAGGTGAAAGTGTTCCTTCCTATTGCAAAACTTATTGTCTCACTTTAATGCTCAAGCATTGTATTCTAAGTTTGAAACTATTTCTATTATGATGTTATGATGTTATGACACACAAAGTAAGACATTAGTAGCAAAATAAGGTAAGCACTAGATTTGATTTGAAATACCTTTTCTGTGATTGTCTAAACTGTTTGGCACCAAACACTCATTCACACAATTCATAAATCCAAACCATTTGGCATCTTGAGTTGCCTTCTCTCTCTCTCTCTCTCTCTCTCTCTCTCTCTCTCTCTCTCTCTCTCTCTCTCTCTCTCTCTGCCACACACAAAACAGAGTTGCTCACTAATCTTAAAAATGAGCTGCACCCAAGGTGGTGGATACGGCTGCTGACAAATTGCCCATGAGTTGACCCCTGTTTTCTCACAAACTCTTGACTTCAGCAATGTGAGCAATGAGAGACAGTTAATTACAACAGCAACCTGAATATCAGGGTGACTTTTTTTTTGGCTATACTGCCATCCCTTCTCTTTCTCTTTTAGTGTGCATTCTGTCTCTCTTTTTTTTTCACTATCTTTCTCTTGTTCACCTCTTCCCTTCCTTTCTCTCAATCACACCCTCTCTCTCTCTCTCTCTGTACACTCTCTCACACGCTTTTCCCCTCTCTCTCTCTCTCCCTTTCTCCTGCCAGGATTTTCTCTGTATTCCCTTTGATCTTCCTCCTCCTCTTCCTCCCCGCTCCTCA